TTTATTTATTATTTTTATTCTATGTGTATGAGTGTATTGCCTGCATGTGTATAAGTGCATCCATGTCATGCAATGCCCTTGGTCAGAGAGGGGCGTGAGATCCCCTGTAACTGGAGTTATAGATGATTGTTAGCTGCCATGTGGGTGCTGGGAACTGAACCCAGGCCCTCCTCAAGAGCAGCCAGCGCTCTTAATCACTGAGCCATCTCTCCAGTGCCCCCCTTATGTAAAATTTTATGTGCTCTTTATAGAGTTCTATTTTCTTGTAATAGTTTAATAACTCATTACTTGTTCTTTTATATCTTTTTACTTAAATCGTTCATGTTGCTGGAAATACAGACAATTCTTACACTTCTGGTGATTTTCATCATGACCTTGGAATGAGGGAAAGCAATGGACAAAGAAATGAGACTGAGTGGATGCCACACCCATACATGAAGGTTGTTGGATAGGTGTGTCCTCTAAAAGAACTAGCACTGAACCTTAAGAGACATGGTAGACAGAGGGGGAGACAGTCACCCCCCCCCGACTCAATTGGTCAGCTTCAATTGCATGAAGAGGGCAGGTCTAAGGACAAGGACAGAGGAAGTCAAGAGACAGTGGGAAGTTGCCATCTTGGTGGGGTGCTGGAGGAGGCCAATCTCAAAGCTCAGATGTAGAGGAAAGAGACCATGAGTGAAGGTCCATGCTTTTATAAGTGACCCCCTCCTAGATGGCATAAGCTTTGCTGGCAAGCTCAAATAAATATATTTACTCTCCAAATTGTAGATTAAAGGGACATTGTGTTGGTTTTGTCCATCAGTTGCTGTGGGAGACAGGCTTGAGCCTAGGGTGAATGTCTTATTGACAGCCATACAGCAGGCCCGAGGCAATGCCAACTACTGGAGCCACAAGGAATGCCTTATGACATTTGCTCCCATTGACAGGTCATGAGACTGATGCCTAGAGCTCTCCACTCCCTAATCACCACCCTTGAGATTCTAAATTGCAACACTTAGATATTGCAACAGCCTGGGTCACATGGTTCCCAGGAATCCAGGCCTGTACAGGAAACCGGAACCTAATCATGAAACCTATCATGCTAATAAGGTGTCTGACTTGTGATGTCATGAGAGGACACAGCCCTGCCAAAGATCTGAGTTGTAACTTCTTGATTAGACCCCTACCCCTATATAAGCTTGTGCCCTTCTGCAATAAACTAGATCTGCATCAGGGAACCTGGTCTCACCCATACATAAAGGTTGTTGGATAGGTGTGTCCTCTAAAAGAAATAGCACTGAACCTTAAGAGACTAGGTAGACAGAGGGGGAGGCAGTCACCCCTCCCACTTGGGATGTCATGATAGGACACAGCCCTGCCAAAGATCTGAGTTGTAACTTCTTGATTGGACCCCTACCCCATATAAGCTTGTGCCCTTCTGCAATAAACTAGATCTGCATCGTGGAACCTGGTCTCCTGTGTCTGAATGGGGCTCCGCTGACACAGTCTCCTCACCAGCCGATCGGGGCACACAGAAGAGCTGCCTCAGTGCAGGGTGAGCAGAAGAGCTGCCTCAGCACCTCAAGGAGCAGAAGAGCTGCCTCAGCACCTGGTGAGCAGAAGAGCTGCCTCAGTGCCCATCGAACAGAAGAGCAGCCTGTGGCCACAGCGAGGAGTGAAGGGCAGCACCCAGGCAAGCAGAGGAGCAGCACCGGGAGACAGCACTGGGAGAGTGGAGGGGCAGCCACAGCTGGTGGGAGCCGCAAGTTGTAAAGACAATGTGGGGCCTGGGAGCTGAGAAGGATGCAGCATGCTTTATAGAGGGCTTGGGAGCCAGCACATGGGCCTCCCAGGAGAGAATTTGGTACTACAAAGGTACAAAAAACAATAAACAGCACCAAGTAATCAAAACTGAATTTCTCAGTGGAGAAAACGTTTCCACCAATTGATTAAAATTTAAAATGACATTCCAGCATAATTTTCATCCAGCCCTCTTGTCCTGTCTTGTGGGTTGGTGGCTGTGAGATGGCTGCCCATGAACAGTTGTTCATCATGATCTCAGTCCTTCAACCTCAGGGACAGAAGTTCTGTCTGCTTATGTAACTTAGGCTGGGGGTATGATACGGAGGACATAGGGTTCACCAGGGCCTGGATGCCTCACCTGCAGTCCAGGAAGATTCTGGAAAATTCTCCAAGTTCCTTTTCTCCTGCCCAGATGACTAGAGTGAGTCTTCAGAAGACCCACAGGGGCTTCCAGTACCTTCAACTTCCCAGAGCACTGGATGTTATACATACACACACACACACACACACACACACACACACACACACACACACACACACACACACACACACACACACACACACACAACAACACACACACACCACACCCAGCCATGTGTGCACTGCCTGCAGAGGCCAGAAGAGCTATGAACAGTTATTAGCTGCCATTTGGGTGCTCGTTTTATTAAGAGCTCTCTTCCTTCAGAAATTCCCAAATTACTCAAGGGGAGGCCTTTGTATTTTTGAGAATAGAGGCATACTTCTTTGATGAAATTTTCTTAGCAGTTTCAACAAAACTGAACATATGGGAATTTAAAAAAAAAAAAAAAAAGAAGAAGAAGACTTAATTCTCAGAAAGTTTCCGGATAACTTAGAAAAGCAGTTAGTTGGTCTGTGGTTTGGCCCAGACTTCTTCTTTCCTGCTTTTATTTTCATTTTCCATTGATACTTTCCAGTTGTCACTGACTTGATAGAGAATAGAGTTTATGATGTCAGCTTATGAGGAAACTTGCAAACTATGACACCTTAAAACTTTCCAAAGGAAGTCAGATCAGGTTTCTATGGCAGATGCTATGGGGTTGATCATACCAAGCTCAAGAGAGGGCTCAGATTTTTGTAGAAGCTTTGAGCAGTGTGACAGCTCAGGATGGATCAAGAAATTTGCAGAAGGAACTAAGCTTATAGTAATTCCCTCTGGTAAGTAATCATTTCTATTCTTGTCCTAGCAATGGGTAGCCAAAAAGTTTGTTTATTTGTTTTTCAGGAAAGAAACCATTATGATCAATTTTATACGACCATATTTTGTAGCTATGAATTACTTGATATGGAAACAAAGCTACACTGGAAGCAATTTTTTCTCTCCTTGTCAGTGGAAACTGTATTTCTGCATTTAAAATACACACAAAAAACATAGCCTCAGGCTATAACAAAATGCTGTGAGGACCAAGTGTTTATGCCATCGGTGTGTTATTATATCAAGTAGTTCCTGTAGAAGGTCTTTTAAGTGAGACTCCTCAAATGGAACTTTATTAATTCCTTCTTTTCCAAATATTTGGAAAATTACTGTTCCTTTCTTGAGGAAACTACAAAGTCTTTATTTTTGGCTTTGATCACATGCCTAGAATTTTGGAAAAAAATTGATTCTTACAGCAAGTTCAGAGGATGCCAAGAATCTGTTTTATCTATCTGACACATTGAATAGGACAACAATGACCAGAATTGATGCTGTCTGTGGAATGTGTGATGTCTGGATATGCCCAGTGAGTGGAATGTGCTTGTTCCACATAATATTTCAGTCCACAGCCACAAAGAGAGACTTTGTAGCTCTTCATCTGCATTTGTCCACTCATTCTCTGAGCAAATGTTTATAGAACAGCTTTTGCTCTGGATGTTGGAGAGAAAAAGGTAGACAAGACATAGGCCCAGAATCCAAAGCTTCCAGTCCCAAGGAATCATGCTCTAGCTTTTGTTTTGATTAGGATTTACACTGGCCTTGGACCATGGCTTCAAGAAAAGCAGGAGGCCCTATGATTCTGGGCTCCTTTCCAGTCTTAATTTGTGAGGTAGTACTGCTTAAGATACCCCAAATCAGGGCTGGAGAGAGATGGCTCAGCAGTTAAGAACACTTGCTGTTCTTGCAGAAGCCTTGGGTTTGAATCCCAGCACCCACACGGCAGCTAACAACTGTCCATAACTCCAGTTCCAGGGGATCTGACAGTCTCTTCTGTCCTCCACGGGCATTCACAACACAGGTGCACTTACCTACATGCAGGCAATACACGTATACACATAAAATAAAAACAATAAATTTTTTAAAAGATACCCCAAATTAGGATAAGCATCTCAAATCCAAAAATCTGTAATCCAAACAAATATAAGATCTGAAGCCCTTGTGGGCACCAAACATTTTGAATAAGTGATAATCAACATGAATCCACCAAAAAATTGGAGGATGTGGTCCCAAATCATCAAATTAAAGAAAAACTAACATAATTTTTCGAGGGCAAGGCATGTAAGCGTATCAGTGCCATCTCTCATTATTCAACATTCCTCACAAGAGTTTCTTACACCTTTTGCAGATGAAAACTTCCTAGTTACAGAACTCATAATTGTGGCAAATACTGTATATTCCAAAGTGCCTAATCTGGGTCACATAGCATAATCACAAACATGGTCATGTTTTTAATGTTCAAAACATTTCCTGTTTTGCAGTTTGACCTTTTATATGGACTTTTTCATTGACTACTTAATTAGAAGCATTCACAGTTTTCATTATTACTTACATATGAATGCAAGACTTCTGTTGTGGAACCAAGATTACCTTTCACCCTCCACAAAGGATCATGGAGGAAATTCTGAATATGCATTTAAAAACTTAAGTCATAGTCCTAGGTTACTTCTATAATATGACCAGACATTTTGACACCACTCAATTTTATTTCTGTATTGGCATCAATTTGCCAGAAATACTGAAGCTACTAAAAGAGATAACTTGTACCCAATTGCACTCTTCAGACCTGCCTGGACACTCAGGATGAGATCGCTGTAGGAAAACATACAGGTTAGGATGTTCTGATGAGCAGCATGGAATTAAAGCTCAGTGCTCTGGAAAATGTTGAGGATTCTTCAAGTCAGAAGGAGCAAGGAACAGCATAAGAGTCATCATTGTAATTCACATTCGCATTCTGGGACTGGGGTTTTAGCTCAGCACTGGAATGCCTGCCTAGCATGCCAGAGGCTGGGATTCAATCCCAGCACCAGAGGAAAACGTGAATTTACTTTGCGAAACAGGCCTAGGCTGATTGTAATTGGCTTGTAGTAAGATGTCATGTTATATTCAATCCAGCTGCAAATCATTCCATTCACCTCACACTAAATACCTATAAGCGGTATTTAATACACATTTACTCGATGCTCAAATATATGAATATTGTTACTGGTTCTTTAAAAGTGAAGAAATATTAAATGACTGTAAATTACACTCTAGGCCAAGAATTGATTTATACATGAAAATCTTTTAAGGCAGTTAATGTCTTCTTACAATTGTCAAAATTCCTATTGATCATAGGAGGATTTTAAGACACATAAAAACTATTATATGAAATGCACAAAAACTCAAAATATTTTTTAAAAAGATACATAAATTAGCAAAAATTAAAACTGATTGCAACTTATGGCCATTATTTTGTTAAATTTTCATCCAGCCATTTATTCATGTATATTTTAATTATAGTTTACAAAATTAGGACAAAATAGATCTGTATTTGAGGAGGGGTTGTTGAGACAGTCTCCCTATAGCCCCAGCTGGCCTGGAACTCACTATGTAGACCAGGCTGGCTTCAACTTGATCTCACAGAGATCTGCCTCCTGAGTGCTGGGATTAAAGGCATACACTACCACATCTGGCTGATCTGGATTTTTTTACTTGGCACTACTTTATGACAATTGTTCTCAAGTGTTTTTCCTAAAATTGTTCAACAACTGAGCAACAAATTCATATTTTAGTTGCCCTTACAATGAAGATGAGCTTTGTCTTTTTTGCATGTTGTAAGGATTACTTGGAATTAAATATAGAAATTATCTATCTCAATGGCTGGGTTGGGAGATAATTAAATACTCATTTTTTTCCCATAATTCAAATTATCACCCATTAGTGATTCATATGACTTCAGTAATATTAATGTATAGACCACTGGTATATGTCACCTAATATCAAATGGTCAGGACCTGAAATATGCTTTTTATTTCCCTCTAAAACTAATAATCCATACTTCTAAAAGTGATTACAACTTTGCATGCACCTTGTATAAGGTGATGATAAGGTGTCCTTTATTTCCCTTCTATAACTATTTATACAAGAAAAATGAAAGTTTTTCATTCTAATTGAATATATATATATATGTATATTACAGTTAAATTACCACTTAAAATATTGAATTTCTCAATTGGTTTAAGAAAATAAGTTAAAATTATATTGATGCTAGTAGGTAAGAAATGTTGTTTTCCCTTTATGTTTGATGAGGACTTTTCAGACTTCATTTAATCTACTAAATCTACATTAGCAATGTTCATCTAGGCTCTAAGCATCTGTTAGGAATGGTTATACAATGGCATCATGGATATGTTAGGCTCCCCCCCCCAACTAAGTATTCACTCACAAAACAAAAGAAAAACATTTTTGCTATTTGTCGATTTTTCTGTATATGTGTGAAATAAAACTAAACTATAGAGGTTTTGAACTCCTGTAACAACTACTAAACCCCTATTAATTTTATTTGCATGTTTCCTTTTACAAATGTTATCTCCAAAGTTAATATAACTGAGTTCATATTAGACTAATATATTCTCCAAGTTGTATTTTTTGGATCAGAAAGACAAAAGAGCATCTTTTCATGTGAAAATTTACACAAGCCTGAACACAAGGAGCACCTGTATCATGCGGAATAATTTTGGTAAAGAGAAATTCAGCCTATGTTGCCTCATTTTAGGTCTGCTTAAATTCAGCATGTTGCATCTCCATCATAAGACCATAATTTAGAAACATGCTCCCCCTCCCTATGCCAAAATCCATAATGTAGAAAGAGAAACAGCTATAACACACAAACTGTGGATCACTTGTTTCAAATGCCTATTACTAAAATCCATTTAAGAAAGAACTGAAATGATTTCCACAAGGAGAGTGGCACAGCTGAATGAAAACAGAGGAACTGAAAGGAAAAGCCCTGGTTGTTACCTCCAAGAAGCACAGTAAAATTTAATGCCCAAAGGCAGAAGGAAAGTACAGTGGAAAACATACAATTTTATTATTTGATAAAAAGAAATCATATTTTGGAAATATGATGTTGTTCCCGTAATAGATTTAAGAAAGATCCTCACTGTACAATTTCTTTTAAAGGGAAACAAAGCACAGAGCTGGTACTGTCTTCAACATCCATTTTGAGAAATGATTGTTAAGCAAACCCGTTGATGTTGCACTGCATCAGTGCTATGAGCCTCTAACATTTAGTCACCCAACATGGTGACCCTCAGCAGATAGGATAAGGACATTGGCACAGTGACCCATGTTGGCACTGTTTTCTGCTGTTTCTCTAGTTAATCCACTGGCCAAACTAGCGGGTGCAGGCTGGAGTTTGGAGTGAGCTGACTGAACTCAGAATGTGGATAATCTTAATCTTCTTGGTGAAAGATTGGATTCAAATATGTTGTGGTGCTGACTGGGAGCAGGGCCATTATTTTTGACAGCAGAAATGAAAGTTTTCCATTCACTGATTCAAATACTAGGGGGGAGCCAGGGAGGCACTCTTGATTATCCTAACATGCAGCTGAGGCAGTTGACCTACTGAACTTGTATGCACAAAAGTACTTTTCCTGAGATCACAGTATTGGGAATGCCAAGAAAATTAGAGCAAAGCAGGATGCAAAGGAGGTCGGAGAAATAGCTCTTTGCTCACAATTTCCAATTTCAAGCCCTAAATGATTCACTTCTATGAACAAATGCAAGGCTTGGTTCTTTATTAAAATGTCATGCTGGAGCACAGTCAAAGTTCCCAATAGTAGTGATGCTGCTGTTGCTGATCATGATAATGACAGTAACCATTTGTGTTTCTATAGCATTTTAAATTAAGTTACTTTTCCGGATATTGTTTCATTTTGGTCTCCAATGCTAGCAGTGAAATTGAAGTAAAGTACACTAACACATTTGTTTCAAGATAAAGAAGTAAAGAATTTAAGGCCATTGGATTTGCTCATAGAACTTGTTATGTTATAAACAAAATGAGTTAGGATGAGAATCCTGGTGTTGTAAGAATCCCAGACCCCCCAGGGCTGGAGAGTTGGCTCAGAGGTTAAGAGCACTGACTGCTCTTAAAGAGAACTCAGGTTCTATTCCCAGCACTCATATGGCGGCATTGAACCGTCCTTAACTCCAGATCCAGGGGAATCCGAGGCAAGCCCTCTTCTGACCTCCGCAGCATTGTACAACATGGGCACACTCACATACATGCAGGCAATACACTCATACACACAAAATAAAAATAATAAATTAAAAAAACAAACAAAAAAAAAGAATCCCAGACCTGGTACCATAGCCTCACCAGAATCTGAAGGGTTCAAGAATGCTGCTGAACTAGTCTAGCATTTTTGATACGGGTTTAATCACTGTTGAGTCTTATTAAAGTCTTCAGCAGAGGAAAAACACTTCTTGTCACAGGTTGGTGTCGGAGATAACAATCTTTCTATGGTTAGAGGAAGGCAATAAATGGTCATTTCAAAAACAATGGGAGTATTTTAAAAATAATAATGTGATGGGGATTTCTGTGGTAATTTTATAAGAGGTTTTAATACAAGTATTTATACTAAAGGAGAACAGGACCAACATTGTACAAATAATGAAATAAGATTTGGCTTTGTGTACATGTCAATATCTGTAATGCTCATAGACAAGTTATGTAAGAATATCATTCAAAGTGTATGATCCTAGATGCTTATTTTTATAGATAAGTCTATGACAGATTCAACAGACCAAACACATTCCTTTTCAAACTTTCCAGTATGCTATGGAAGAATGTGGACTCTGCATGCACCTGGATCTAGGGTTCCCATACTTACTGGTTTGCAAATTTGGGTGATTATTCTTTTGCTTCAGTTTCCTTTGCCACAGGATTGGATAACAGTGGGACTCCAGTGAGGTTACATGAGAATCACATTGGATAATGAGGATAAAGCCCTTAGCATACAGTCTGTTGCCCAGTAAATTGTCCTTCCCATTTAAATGTAAAGGGGTACTTGCTCCACTCTGGAGAGCTGCTTCAACAAGGGGCATTTTCACAGAACTTCTCCAGAGAGCTGAGCTGCACTTCTTACAGCTCACATCATAGGTGATTCTGGCATTCATTCACACAGGGAAAAATGGGCCTGGAGTTCTCTTACTAGACTGCATCACTTGGCAAAAAAGTTACACTAAAATGTGTTTTGTGAAAATTATTGTTCTATGTTTTTCCTAATTCCTTGTTTTAATTAATAATAGCTCTAATATCAATATACATTGCTTCTGAATTCTTATCAATAAGATTAGGCTCCTGCCTGTTTTATCAGAAGAGAATTTTGATTTATGTCATCAATGCATAAAATAAATATATTTTGTATTTAAATATGAAGGAGCTGTAACTTTATAAGTGATGAAAGAAACAAAAAACAAACAACACTTAAGTAAATTCTCAAGTGTAGATTTGAATCATCATAGCTTCAGAATTGATATAGAGTGAATCTATATAGAATTTATATTGTTAGATCTTAAAATACAAGTAACTTAGTTAACTCAAAGTATATTGCTTGATTAGGCAAATGAAAATGCATAAGTTCATTTCCTTTACTTTTAAATTTAAGAAAACATCTAGCAGGGCTGGAGAGATGGCTCAGTGGCTAAGGGCACTGACTGTTCACACAGAAGACCTGAGTTCAAATCCCAGCACCTACATGGCTAACAACTGTCTGTAACTCCAGCTCCAGTGGATCTGATGCCCTTTTCTGTTCTCCTGGGCATTGCATGACATGGGTGCACTTACATACATGCACCCAATAATGCATACACATAAAATAAAAATAAAGCAAAAAATTAAAGAAATTAATAAAAAGTAAACATATAGCAACCATTCTATTAATTATTCAGGTATAATAGAACAGTCGATTCTATACATAGGAAAAAGTTGACCATGAAAAGCACTCTGAGTGTGTATACTTAAAAGCAATGTTCTAAAAGTATCATGTAATACAGGACCCCAAATGTGAATATTTGCCATATATATTCAGCTACACTACTTAACACCTTGTCAAGTATGGCACTGAGAAAATTTTAGAAGTTGAAAATTCATTGTATCCTCAAAAACATGAAACGTAAAGAATTTAGCTAAGGAAAACACAGAAGAGTTGATGAATTATATGGCATCATACAAAAATTAATTATCAGTTCTTTAACTGTGAGTTAGAAGCACTTCTGTGAATGAAACTTGAATGAAAACTCGATTTAATACATTAACTTCAACTAAAATTATATGAAGATATAAAATTTAACCCCTTTTTAGTGTTGTTATTGTATCTTACTGTTTGCATTAAAACAACATGTGTGAAATTAAAATTAGGCTATTATGATCCACTGAATTTATAGTATGCACAGAAATAGTACACTGTATGTTTGGTACGTTTTTATAAAAGCAAGAACCTTTGCTACATGGACAGAAAGGTGAAATTTTATCATTTTCTTAAATGAGAAACCCAATTCTTTTCTCAAAAAAATGCCTATTCAATTATTGTACTAATTTCAATGTAGTCCCCCCACCCCAATATTGGCAAATATCTCCGTTTCACTTAGGAAATTAAGTTATAGCTTCTACATTTAGAAGAAGCCAATATATTAAAATAAAAATGTATTTATAACCAGTTAACATATTAGATACATGAAATATGCCTTTGTAAACATACGATGTGCCACCCCACACGTGTTGACATTACAAGGAACTCTGGAATGATAACTTTCTACATCACACCAATCACAATCACATGGCATACCTATGTATCAGAGAACAATGAAGCTCTAAAACAGTTAAATGGCATACAGTGTTGACACAAATTCTGGGAGAAACAAATTCAAAACCTGGATAAGCAGAGATGGATTGACCTTCTCTTAAATGAGATCAATTTAAAATAAAGCAAGTTTGAAAAACAGGATTCTACTGTATCCTTAGTGATGCTTGACCTTCAAATGAAGCTCCAAAATAAAGTGTTTGGGTGAGCATTTTCAGAAAATATATGTATGTGTATAACTTGGTTTTAGATTAATGTGTTTCTGAAAATTATCAGTAAGTATTTTTAAATAGAATTTGTGGATTTGTTCTAAGTTCTCTGCCAAATCCAAGAGTCTGTAAATCATTTGGAAGGGAATCTTTAAAAATTTCCCGGCCCCTAAACCTAGAGTGATTCAGATGTGGGAGTAAGATGCTGTGGAAAGACAGCAACTCAATAGGAGAATCCAGGAACCTCAGCACTAGGCAGGAATCCACATTTGCAGCCAAAAGATTAACCTCACAGGTGCTGGTGCATGTGGAAGAAGATTGCTGTTGAAACAGACAGTCTGCCATGTAGCATTTGTTCATCTGAGAGATAACATAAAAGGGGCACATTTTAGAATTGGCTAAGTGGAGAGTGGATTGTAGAGCTGCAATGCATGGGATGAGAGTTACTTGGCCAGGCAGCCCATGTGATAAAGGATGGAAAAGGTTCTTTAAAAGGAAGTGCAGTCCCAATCTGTAGAGACATCATAAGAGTCATTCACACACCTGTCATTCAACATGAAAATATATTCATCTGAGAAAGCAGATTTACAAAGGAGTCTATGCTAGCCTATGGAGAGAGAAAAAAGGCCAGCTTTCACTCAAGTGCTTCCAGTTAACAGCTGTGACTTCTGGAAGTTGTGTAACCTCATGAAATAGTGTGTCTCTAAAGTAAGGACATTAAATAAGTTTATGCAAACTACAGTGGATGGAAGTTCACAGTGGGTGTTAATTCAATAGTAACTTGTCCTCTGAGTGCTATGCACTGGATTGTTTTAAGCCATGTAACATCTGAGTTTTTCTAATAATTCTCATTTTAATTTTCCAATTCCCCCACAGATAAAAGCTTTGATGCAGACATGTCCCCCAAGCCCACCATTTTTCTTCCTTCTGTTGCTGAAACAAAGCTCCACAAGTCTGGGACATACCTTTGTCTTCTTGAGAAATTCTTCCCTGATGTTATAAAGGTATATTGGAGAGAAAAGGGTGGCGATAAGACTCTGAAATCCCAGGAGGGAAACACAATGAAGACCAGTGACACATACATGAAGGTCAGCTGGCTTACTGTGACTGGAAAGTCAATGGATAAAGAGCACAGATGTATTGTCAAACATGAAAAAAATAAGGGAGGAGTTGATCAAGAGATTCTGTTTCCTCCAGTAAATACAGGTAGGTACACATTAATGCAAATATAACTTCCAGAAAACATTTGAAAGGGAATAACCCTCTTACTATAACATATTGAAAATCATCAAATACAAATATTTCTTAAATATGATTACATTTGTTGCTAGCACAAATCCATGCTCTTCTGCCCCAGAAAATGTTATAGATTTGGAGAAAACAAATAGAAAATTTGACTTAATTTTTCTCAGTCTCAGCTATGCTATGCAAAAATAGTAAGATCATGCAAAATTTTTTAGAATTGTCTATAGAGTAAATGAAAAAAACAGCTGAAAGCACCCCAAACCTGGTACATGTTAGATGTTGGAAAGCAGTTTCCACTTCTGAGGGCTTTGCTTGATTCAGAAATAAAAATAATGAACATCTTTCAGAGATTTTCTACCATATAAATAAGGAAAATAACCTAATTCAATCTCTATCTCTATATGCACCAAGTTTGGTCTATAGTGAATTTTTAACTGATAAAATAGTGCTCATTTAAAATAGCCAGTTAGAATAAAAAACAGGAATACTTAGCCACTGAAGATTTATGACAATCTTGAGAATTTCTGGTTTTTATTTTATATATCACTGTTAAATAAAAACCACAGTCGAATTTGGGTGAGACTAACATGCACATATTTCCATTCTCCATGATGCAGCTACATAGAGTCACTTGCTGTCCCACCAGTAGACCAGGTCTGAGTGGGAATGTGGACGAATTGTGGAGGATGAGTTAGTCTTCCAAAGTGGGTGTGCTACAAGGAAGAGCATAGACTCTGTTCCTAATCTTTATTTAGATACTGTGTCCCAGACTAAGTTCCTTGACCTGACTAGGCAGAGGGCTAAGTGGGCAGAGGGCCTAGGAATGGTCCAGTAGCTATCTCACAGTGTGATGTAGTGAGTGTCAAAAACATTTTGAAGGCCTCAGAGTTACCACAAAAAGAATCCTTTAGTTTTGAGTCCTATGACTGACCACCCTTCTGATCCAGTGGGATCAAATGACAGAACATGTGGACACCTTTGCCATTTTCCCAGTGGATGTCCTAGGTAAGTCTTCCTCCCCTGGGATCCTTTGCTTCTGCAGTGACCAGTGATGTTTAAACAGTTGCATGACTTTACCTAGGATTGTCACGAAGAGCAAATGAAATAATGTCAGTGAAAATGTTTGTGTTCCACAGTAGAGCAAAGCATTACAGAGTAGACTTGCTATTCTATCTCAGCACAAAGATTATTAGGCAAGGTAAACACACACAGCAGAAAGTTAACGTAATCACTGTGTTTATGAGTCTAATGACATGATGATTCTTGTACCGGTTAGGGAAAAATACAAAAAAGCAGTAAAATCCCTACTGATGAATATTGTGCAGAGGAGAGGGTCCAGGTTAAGAAAATTTACTTGCACTCAATTCCGAAACAAATGTTTCTCATGTGCGCCCACAGGAGCAAAGCTATTCAGGGCATTTCTGTTAACAGACGTCAGCATGGAACTTCTGGCGGTGCTTCCTCAAAGACCTCTGTGTTTATTCTGTTCTGATAAAGCTTAAAAGTCATACAAGGAAGTAGAACTCAATGAAGAGATTCTGCAGGGAGATAAAACTGATCTTTTCTAACTCTGCAAATAACCTTGACTGAGGGGATTTAGAAAGCACAAAGATTATATTATTAGGAGCTACATTTTTATTTTACCTCAATCAGTTCATGCTGATAGTGATATTCATTTATCTTTTCATTAATAAGGTTACTGAATGAACGAAATAGACTTTCAGACCACTAAGGCAGTTCTTGAACACAGGTCAAAACCAAGTATGATTATATTTACATTTTCATTCTTGATTCTTACTGAAAAGGCACACACACACACACACACACACACACACACATATTTAATCTTGTTTTATGAGACAGGGTCTTACTATATAACCCTGGCTGGCCTCATACTCACTATGTAGACTAGATTGGCCTCAAACTCACAGAGAGCTCACCTCTGCTTCCCAAGTGCTGGGATTAAAGGCATGTACTACCACAAGCAGCTCATCAAATCCATTTTTAATGTACACAGAAAAACTCCTTGTTCAATAAAATTACATAATGGAAGCAAATCCACACCTGCAAGAATACATTTAGCAGAAAAAGAAGAAGCCCAAACAGCTTGTGTGGCAGATTTCTCTGCATCACTTAAAATAATTAATCTTCATATTTTTTGGCTTTTAAAAATCTAAGTGTATCCCTCTTACCCCAAGATATACACAGAGAATTAGAAAAATGACTTGAATTATCTTTTTATCTTTGGAAAGAACCTTCTCTGAAACCTTCATATCTTATAATAAACATAACTCAATCAGATAATAATAATTAAGATTCCAGAAGACTGAAAGGATTCCTTTGCAGTGTGACACATCATATTAGCAATGAGTGCTGAAGTCTTTAAGGTAGCCGATATTCTGTTCATTTTCCCGTTGAACATGCATTTGTACATCACCTATTATACAGCAGACATTCGTTAGGACATATGTATACTAAGGAAAAGCAGATCATGCAAGAGAGTGTTGGATAGTACACCGTAATTGTGATACAAATGCAATGTTGGCGAACTTTAACATGTTCATGTGCAGAATCACCACATTTGAACATTACTGAATTACACAGACTGCAACCAATTATTCCTGAAATTACATGGTTCAAATTTTGCTGATTTTTTGTTGAAAATTTGTATACATGTGAAAACTTGTATACACCTGCAAACATGTGTACACATACACTTTAAAATAATAGGCATAGATAATGGGTATTTGTTTTTTCTTTCTTTTAGTTGCTACCACTATTAAGCCTACAGAAGTTTATTTGAAAACTGAAAAAGGTAAGTTTTAGCTTGCATTTTCCCCTTCTAATCATCTTAACATTTGACTCTTCCTAGATTAAAGTAGGAAAAACAGAATGACTAAATTTTACAGAGGCGACTGGTGACACTTTAGATTAATCCATCATTTCCTTGGCATCATCTTTTAAAATATTTTATTTTTACTTTATGTGTATGTCTTTATTGCCTGAATGTATGTAAGTGTACCTGTGTTGTGCAATGCCATAGGAAATCAGAAGAGAGTGTTGAATTCCCCTGGAACTGGAGTTATGGATGGTTGTTAGCTGGCATGTGGGTGCTGGGAATTGAACCTGGGTCCTCTCCAAGAGCAGCCAGTGCTCTTAACTGCTGAGCCATCTCTCCGGCCCCCTCTTTGGCATCATCTTATACAGAGATGACTATAGATAGAGGATTCAGTGATCAGCTGAGTCCTCAGCAGAACTTTATTCATTCTTGGCTTCAGGACACATGATACCAAGCTTCTCTAGTATTTTAAAACGTTTATAAATAAAACCTGGACCTTACGACTGATTCAGAGAACTAGACGTGCTCTTTGACTACAAAAGTTGGTTTGTTTTCTTCAGAAAGAACTACACTGAAATGCTCAGTTCCTACAATAAATGGCCATTGGCTGAAATAATACAATGTAAGATTGTCTTAGTGTCCACATGAAGGAATTGTCCCTTCATAGGTTATTTTCTCTAAATTTCTGTACATTATTTTTTTATATGGTAAGAGTGTATTTCTATTTCATTGATAATAAAAATGGCCATTGAGAAATAATGTGACTTGCAGAGGGTCACTCATCTAGACAGAGGTGAAACTGCCCCATGGCAAAAGAGGTCGGCTTTCGCAGCTGTAGTCCCTGTCCTGTTTCCTTACACAGTTCAGAGCCCCCTACTTTGGGTCAGCATACAAAATGTTTCATGATGGCATTCTTATGCATGACTCATATTTTGCTCATATTTGCTTATGGTTATCCTTCCTCGTCCTTCCTCCTGGCTCTTGCTGTTCAGTCTGTCAGTTTATATGTACACATAACCTCTGTATATGAGAAAAAACATTCTGTGTTTGTCTTTTTAAGTCTGGCTTATTTGCTTTACATGATGATCTTCAGGTCCATTCATTTTCTTTTAAATGACAATTTCATTCTTCGTTACAGCTGAATAAAATATATTTATACATCACATTTTCTCTATCCATTCATCTGTTGATGGGCATCTAGGCTGGTTTTATAGCTTATTGTAAAAGTGCTTCAATAAACTAGGATGTGCAAATATATACTAACTTGGATTCCTTCATATACCCAGGAGTGACACAGCTGGTTCATGTGGTAGTTTTATTTTTGTGAGGACCCACCATAGTGATTTCTCTGATGATGTCAATAGTTAGGTTTTCTTTTGATCTATATCCTCTCCAGATTTTGTTGTTTTTTTAATGATTGCCATTTCAACTGGGATGAAATGAACTCTCAATGCAGTTTAATTTGCATTTTCCTGATAGTTAAGGATGCTGAACTTTTTTTCTTATATTTATTGGCCACTGGTATTTTATCTGTTCAATTCACTTAATTAATTAATTGTATTAATTGGGAGTTTGGGTATTTTAGTTCTTTATGTATTCTGGGCTCAATCCCATTGGAAAAATATTTCTCTCCCACTGTATAGGCTTTGTCTTTACCTTTCTGGTCATTCATCACCTTGTTGTGTGGAAGACTTTAGTTACATGCACTCCCATCTGTCAGTCCTTGCAATCGTTCCTGAGCCACTGGAGTCCTGTGCATGAAGTCCTGCATATGCTTCTATCTTGAAGTTTTTTTCTACCATCAGTTTCAAAGTTTCAGGTCTCACATAAAAGTCTTTGACCCCTTTCTTCTGCTAGTTAGACAGAAATTTGCTTAAATCAGACTCCTTCAAGGGAGTATGATTCTGTTGCTGACTCTGGGGTTGGACAAATTCACTTTGGGTGCAAAAGTCACATCAGCATAATATGCAGAAGTCTGTAAAACAGCTAATTAAAAAAGCTCATCCATTGAACATGTATTTGTTGCAACTTTGTGACATGTTTTGTGCAAGAAGTTATAAACAGAGGAAAAGTTGGCAATCTGGAATATAATTCATGTGTGATAAAAAAGAAAATAAAGTATACTTTACAAACTTCAGTATCTTCATGTGCAAAAATACATGGTTGATATCTATTTATTTGCATAGAGTAACATCAATTATTCTGGGGATTATGAGGCTTAAATTTTTGAATTAATTTGTTTGTTTATGTGAGTGTTTTGCCTGCATGTACTGTGTGTGTGTGATGCCTGCAGAGGCCAGAAGAGGATGTCAGATCCCCTAGAACTAGACTATTGTGAGCTGACATGTGGGTGTTGGGAACCAAACCTGGGTCCTCTTCAAGAGCAGTCAGTGCTCTTAATGGCTGAGCCATCTCCCCTGCCCCAAAGGCTCATATTTTTTAATAGTTGATCCTCCAGTCTGTGTCAACACTTCATATATGTTTTACACACACATACACACACACAATTTTCAAATAATATGCATGAATAATTAACTAGCACTTTCATGTCTTTTAGTTACTGCAACTGTTAATGTTAGTCCCAGAAAAACGTGTTTGAGAAGTGAACATGGTAAGTTTTTAAAAAATACTTTATTATTTTTAATTTTATGTGTATATTGCCTGCATGTATGTAAGTGTGCCATGTCATGAAATGCCCACAGAGGTCAGAAGAGGGCATCAAATTCCCCTGGAAGTACAGTTATCAATAGTTGTCAGCCACCATGTGGGTGCTGGGAGGTCCTCAGTAAGAGCAGCCTATACTCTTAGCTTCTGAGCCATCTCTCCAACCCAACTAAAATTTTATTTACAGAAACAGAAATTTGACTTAGGCTCTTTTCATTATCATAAAGAACTGCACTAAAATGCTCAGGCCCTGTAGTTAACAAAAACAATAATTAAGAATATTTAAGATGCTTAAAGTAGGGCCTGCCTATAATCCCAGCACCTCGGAGATAGTGTGGGCTGGATGAAACTTAAAAAAAAAAAATCGTGTATGTGGGGTGTATGTGGGTGTCCATGTATGCACATGTGTGCATGTGCACATGAAGCCTAGTGGACAATCTTGGGTGTCACCCTCAGGAATGTTATCCATCTCCTTTGTAGTACTGGCCTGGAGTTTATTGATTAGGCTAGACTGCCTGGCCAGTGAGCCTTAGGATCCTTTCTCTGCCTGCCCAGCACTGTGATTATAAGCATTCCACCAGGCCCAACATTCTTATGTATGTTCTGAGGATCAAACTCTGGTCTTTATGCGTGGGAGGCAAGCACCTTACCAACTGATTCATCTGCCCATCCAAAGACCCTTCCCTCAAGAAAAAAACAAAAATTCCTGCTATGTTTCTGACTACACCGTTTAAGCCAATTCCTTTCTCATGCATGGAGCCATCCAGAATTCAACTCACCTAAGTGTTACTGGGGAATTAAATACAATGAAATGTGAGGCATTTAATATAGTGCCTGCTGCAGCAATCATCAGTCAAAAAGTGTCAGCCTTCATTGATAGTCAATCCTGTCTGTTGACAGAACACACACACACACACACACACACACACACACACACATTCACACAATAAATAGGAATGAGAACATTAGAACTTGTTCTCATTTCTTCTAGTTATCCATACTACTGATCTTGAAATTTGCTTGAGAAAATTAAAGGGTACACCTTAGCATGCTTGCCTTTATCTTATTATACAGCACATGATTCCTTCCTTCCTAATCATCTTTCATTTGAACCTCCCTGATTTAAAGAAAAGCCAGAACAGCTGAATTTTACAGGACAGAATGGGTGACATTTTAAGTTGACCCATCATTTCCTAGTCATACCATCACAGTAAAGGATTAGTCTTCATACCAGGTGATTTTGACTTAGAGTACACAGTGATATGCTCTGAGCTTTTTCTAAAGAAACTTCCCTCATTCCTGTGTCTATTGTTTATGATAGGAGAAATCCATGATATCAGTTACTTCTAGAATTTTTGTGTTTCTTAGTTACTGATAACATTAACTGGCTCCTACAGAGTCTGTTACCTGAGCTTCTTCTTATTTATTCCACTTTACACAAAAGGCCTGGAGCTGTGTTCTGCAAGCATTTCTTGGCTAATTTTAACACTCCTCTCACAAGGTATGATGGTTTTCACCATTTTACAGATGCGGTCAGTGTGCACATCTGGGGTTTCTACTCAGGTCATCAAATGGCAAGTTCACACCCATACTCAGTCCTGTATTTCCCCTCTCAGATAAGAAATTCTTGAAGACACAATGACATCTGGAGGAGTACATGCCTACAGACTAGACTTGTGTCCGGTTCTCTTAATAATCAGTGTATACACATATGTGAGTGGCCTGTGTTTTTAGGCAACATTTTTTTTTCATATACCAACTGAGAATACTTGCCCTAAACTCAGTTATTGGGTGAAGATCTAGATGTTAAACATCCATTACAGGTATCATGTTTAGCAAGCAGAAGTACTAGTTTCTGGCCCATTCTCTCTACAAATGCAACCAAACAAGACACAAACACTGCTCTGGGTTTGTATTTCTTCTATTTCCTGTATGTACTGTGTTCTGAACCTCAGGTCCCACAGGAGGCAAAGGCCTAATCAGGGTCAGGGAGTTATGAAAATTGCATTTCTTGGGATCCTTTATACAGGAAGAGGCATGGCTTTGACTCACTAAGTAGCCACTGTGGCCCTCCACTTTCATCATCATATTAATTGCTGATAGCATATATTTCTTAAAAATCTTCACAAGATTTTCACTTCAATTCTCCAACGTCAGGACAGTCCTCAGGAGAGAGAGCAGAGTGTGCCACAACCATCTAACAGCTTAGAATTTGGATCACTGTTTCCTTGTTTTTCTAGAGCCCTTTTCTATCATCTCCTATGCACCCGCTGTACTACCACTGAATTTTCATGGACAGTACCTTCTGACAGCACTATAGACAAAATCTGCAATGCTGCAGATGCTTCTAAATCAGCAATTCAACTTTATATTCATGCTTTTAATTCTAGACCTGGAAGTTTCACATGCAAAGATGTGAGACTCCTGTTTGGCATTTGCTTAGTGTTCGATGAATAGCATAACATTACTTAAAGGCATGTTGGAGGTGAAGAAATTCTAAACCTATCCCGCACTCATCCCCTCATCTGGATTCGCCCATTCCAAGTGTGGCCTCTCTTCAGTCTTAGGGAGATTATAAATGAACTTAGCAGACATTGTTATCAACCTGACTTCCATGATGAATCCACTTACTGGTTCTTATGAAAGTGGCAGGTACTGACTTTTGGGTTTTGGTGCAGTTGAGTTGTTATTCAACATAGACCACCAGAAACAATTGCCTACAATGCCCTCCCATGTGTGATATTTTATCAAAGGAGATTTGAAATTAACCACATGACTTCTCGTAGATGTGCTACAGCTGCAGCTCACAAGCACGTCTGCCTACTACACCTACCTCCTTCTGCTCCTCAAGAGTGCCATCCACTTTGCCATCATCGCCTTCTGTCTGTTTAGAAGAACACCTGTCTACGATGATGAGAAGAGTTCGTAACAAATGATGTACAACAGGATTATGTTGTCTTCACCCTTTATTATGCCAGTGATGTCTGTTAAGGATCTGGCCGGTCTTGCTTTTGAGCTTTGACTTCCTTGAAGTCACATACGCATCATTATTCTACAAAGGTTTTCAAACCAGGGAACATGTGGATCAACTTCACTCTACAACAAAGAGTAGCCCAGGGCAGCACCCATTATTCTGACTCTAGCCTCTCCATGAGCCCAGAGTATCACAGCCCTCATCTATATAGCCTGCACCTTCCAATCACAGCTCTTGGTATCCTTTAACCACATAATGCCCTGAAAGCTTCCACTGTACATGCCCTGAAGAGCCTTCTTTGCTGCTTGAATTCTCTGCTGTTTTTCAAGATAAAATAAAAATCAGGCCTACTCTTGATGTGTATTTATTATTTATTTATTTAATTCATTCATTCATTCATTCATTCTTGCTCTTTTTAAGACAGGGTCTCTCTGTAGTCCCAGCTGGCCTGGAACCTGCTATGTAGACCAGGCTGGCCTTTAACTCACAGAGAACCGCCTGCCTCTGCCTCCCAGGTGCTGGGATTAAAGGCATACACTCCCTTGCCCAGCTTGATGTGCATTTAATGACAGTGAACTGAGTGTCCAAGGTGCAAAGTAACAGGACAGTTAAGCTACAATATGCAGTGCTGGTTGGTACCAAGGGTCCAAAACCACATTCTTAATTCTATCCCTGAGATACTAAGTATGACAATTTTCTGGAGTAGTGAGTCCAAAAAGAGCAGCAGCCAAAATAACGAAGCCCACACTACTGCTCTCTCCCAGGTAACTGGACTTGAGTTCATTTGGCTTGTCATGCTCATGGACATAGTAAACACCTACTAGGATGTGCACTGTGGAGACTCAGCACTGCGCCATTTCACGGCTTCAAGCTTCTCAATCCTCACACTATTCACAGGAGAGCTGCTCCAACCCCAGAAAGATGATGGAAGAGATGAGCATATAGACTGTGGACCCCAGGGCCTGGGTTTCAATCCCCAATGTGGAATTTAGCAGCATGTGACCTCAGAAACTGAACTCTCTACACCATAGTTTCCTACCAAAGAAGTTAGAAAGGCCATTCCCTGCAGTTGTGTGCACTATAAGGATTAATAAAACGTGAATGTGTGAAGGCAAGTCCCCAAGAACACTGGTGTATGCTCCTCACTATACCTTAGAAATAGTGGACACCACACTCAGAGATCACAGAGAAGCACCCAAAGTGAGGACAAATGGGGTACTTGGCCTCCACCGCACACTGGGCAACCTCCTGTGGCATTAATTTGTTTTTGAATCTACACATCTAATGAGTTTTAGGTCCATTTGCATGTCCTTTATGCTCATATCCTTTGCTATTTTTTTCTACTGAGTATTAATACTGAGAAGCACACCACTCGCTAGCCATGCCTACATTTCTGCACACAAAGATGTTACCCAAATATTAAGGTATGGTCCATGGTGAGATGTCAGGGTGTGCTTTCAGCTTTCTCAAATGAACACTTTCAAACTTCAAACTTCTATGCTTCATGTGTTCTGCCTGTATGCATCTAAGTGCACCATGTGCATGCAATACCCACAGAGGCCAGAAGAGGGCACTGGATCCCCTGGAACTGGAGTTATGGATGGTTGTTAGCTGCTACATGGGTACTGGGTACCAATCCTAGGTCCTCTGCAAGAGCAGCCAGTGCTCTTAACTACTGAGCCATCTCTCCAGCCCCCAAACTTCTATGTTCCTATTAAAACAATATCTAACATTGGGAAAGTTCTGTTTACAGTCAGCTTCAGATTCTATAAAGCAGGTTCTTTGGAATACAAGCAGGTGTGTTTGGAACAAAACATGAATGAGACTCAGCGACTAAACTTCCTTTAGATCTACTCTTTCATGCTCCATGATCTTCAGAGTGGAGAACGATTTCTGCACTGGGAAACAAAGATGCCAAGGCAGGAAACTGTCACTCAGCAAGAGCTTTTGGGGGATCAGATTACTGGCCAGGGCATAGGCAGTGTCCCTTGTGGTTTCAAACCTCTTAATGCCCTCCTCCTGGGGCCCACATAGGCTTTCCTGAGTCTCAGCAGTGCAGAGGGACAGTGCTGACTGCAAGGGAGGTAGGGACAGCAGAGGATGGATGGTGGGCCAGCTGCTGCTGCTGCGACTGATGGGTTTATTTTCTCAGGCTTTTTTTGTGTACCTGCTCTATCGATGTGGTTGCTTCCTGGAAAATGCTCAAAGTCAAACCGGCCTATACTGGTTGGCGCAGTACAAGGTGTGGTTAGGGTGTTAGAAGAGAAAATAAGGGCAGTTAAACCACAGCCAACTTTGCTCACTCTGAAAAGGGCACAGCTAATGCAGGGAAATATCTCCATGTGAGGGAGGTGGTTGCCAAACTCTGGCTCCACGGGGGGCAGCAAGGCTCCCTCTGAGAGCACAGCGCTCAGCTGCCCAGGACTTCACACTGCACAGCTGATCAGTGCCCCTGTGCTGCTCTGAAGGCACAGAAAGTCCTCTATGGTTCCAGGATAATTCCAGTCTCTCACTTCCTGAGGTGCCTTATTACAGACGGTGATACTTTCTAGTTTCATTCTTTTCATTTTCTCAGAGTAGCACAGGACGCTGTGTCTTGATTCCATTCGAGGAAGGTGTAGGCCACAGTAATGCACCTTATGAACAGAGCTAAACTGAATGCCATCCACTGAAACTGGAGTCTTCCCAGGGGAAACAAAAGTCAGCATCTGAGAGGCTTAGTAGAGGATGTTAGTGTGAAGTTGATAAGAACTGAGTCAGGCAGAAGAGAGTTGTTTAGCAATGAGAGCCCAGAGACCACACAAATGTCTCCACTCTGTTGTTGCCTGGGCTGGGTGCAGAGTGGACACCCAAGCCTCTGTGCTTATGTGTTCAGTTGCAGAAGCCCAAGCACAGCTAAAAATCCCTTCAGGCTCCCAGAGTCTGTTCCTGGCATTCAAGTGCATACACTATTCACCTTTGCGATCAGAGCCAGCTTCCTCACATGCTGCATTCTCCTCAGAGGACTGGCCACAACTACTGGCTCAGGCCAGCACTCTAGCAGTGCTCTTTCTCAGTTTAAGGCCTCTGCTGTGGGCTTGGAGGACATGCTGCTCCACCCGAGGTAGGTGACCGTCACTTAGGTAGTCCAAGATCAGATGGTGGAATGGTGGAAAGTTCCCAACAGCCTCCCAGCCCACCTCCCAGTGCACTTCTGAGGTCCTCAGACTCTCATGACAGTAGAGATGCAGAACAGGATCTGCACAGATGCTGTTTCCACCCAGACCGGCATCACCACTGTACATAGTTAAGTTTTCTAGAATGACACAGTCAATAATGAAGGAAACTCATAGGCCCTGGCTCCCTGGGAAGCCAAAGGTGAATATTCACAATTGGAAAAATGGTTCATGATGTAATATAGTTCAATTTAATTCAAGTTAAGTAAACACACAGGAAAGGGTCTAGCCGTGGCTTCCTACTCCTTTCATGGGTTTCAATGAGTATTCAGAACATTTTAGAACCCTATCACAGAGAAAGGCATTTCACGAATAAAAACAATCAAAATATCGGAGGATATTTTATGTTTTCAGTGTGTCCTCACCTTCCCCTTGCAATTCCATCACTTTAACTCAAATACGTAGTATCAACCAAGAAACAGAAAAATCATTTTCATATGTTGGATTTTATTACTTTTAAAATTGTATAAAGAGCACATGTGCATGAGTTTTAAAACATAAAGGAATGTAGGGTGTTAAAAAAGAAATACAAAAAAAATCTGAGACACGAAACAAATGTTACATTCTGTGAATTGAAATAAAAAGGTACTTCACATACTACAAAAGTGTTATTCAATATATTAAGAGTCCTTTGATTCAGAAGTAGCACAAGACTTTCGGTTACTCATTATCAGGTCAGACTGAGTCTCACAGAAAAGGAAGGATCACAGCACAACCCGATGACCACAGGCAGGGGCTAACTGCGAGGAAGAGGGGCAGTGTCCATGAGGTATCGCCATAAATAAATTCACTGGCTCATCAACGAAGCCAGCAGTGAGCGGATGTCACCATTTCTGCTGTCATGGGAGACCCATCTCTATCATTTTCCCAGGATGACTTGCAGTGAGGGTTCTTCACACTTTGAGAAAGTGAAGACAAACATTGAGTAGTGGTGTGGAGGCAAAGGCCGCTCCGCCTGCCGTAACAACCTGGACTGAAGCCGGGTTGTGACAGACACATGAAGGACAATGGTACGACAACACCTGACTATTTTAAAGCACTTTATAGAAAGACTGACTACCTGGATACTGACATCTTTGTTCTTTTGCACCCTGATGCTGTGGGGAGCAGTGCACTGGAGCTGACAGTCACAGGACTCATCCGCCCTGCACTGGCTGGCCCATCTGCCCCTGTCCTTGCTTCCCAAGCCTCACAACCCGAGAAGCACTTTTTCCTGGTGTGGCTAAATAACCTGTAGTCCTGCTATACAACTGATGTGCTGTTTACTCTCCTGGTATTTATGAGGCTGAAATGACCTCCTTCTCAATCTGAAGAGACGCAACAATGTGCTCCACACTACAGCTCACGGCTTTCCTGTCAGAAGCTCCAACACCCTCTTTAAAGTTTTTTTTTCTTAATTTATTTTTTCATTTTATGTGTAAGAGTGTTTTTCTTCCATGCATGTAAGTGAACCCATGTCATGCAATGCCCACAGAGGTGAGAAGAGTGTCAGACGCCCTGGAACTGTAGTTTCAGATGGTTGTTAGCTGCCTTATAGGTGCTGGGAATGAACCTGGTCCTCTTAACTGCTGAGCCACCTTTCCAGCCCCTCCCACCTTATTTTCCCCATCCCCACTTGAAGCTGTGCCACTGTAGAAGCTCCTTACCGTCTCTCTGTCCCTAAGTGTGACAGCTCCTCACCCTCTCTCTGTCCCTAAGTGTGACAGCTCCTCACCGTCTCTCTGTCCCTAAGTGTGACAGCTCCTCACCGTCTCTCTGTCCCTAAGTGTGACAGCTCCTCACCGTCTCTCTGTCCCTAAGTGTGACAGCTCCTCACCGTCTCTCTGTCCCTAAGTGTGACAGCTCCTCACCGTCTCTCTGTCCCTAAGTGTGACAGCTCCTCACCGTCTCTCTGTCCCTAAGTGTGACAGCTCCTCACCGTCTCTCTGTCCCTAAGTGTGACAGCTCCTCACCGTCTCTCTGTCCCTAAGTGTGACAGCTCCTCACCGTCTCTCTGTCCCTAAGTGTGACAGCTCCTCACCGTCTCTCTGTCCCTAAGTGTGACAGCTCCTCACCGTCTCTCTGTCCCTAAGTGTGACAGCTCCTCACCGTCTCTCTGTCCCTAAGTTTCTCTCTCTGCTCTGTATCTCACAGGATCACTGATCTCAAAACATGACTACCAGAGTGCTTGAAATTTATACCAACATCTGACACAGATAATATGGCTAAGTTAACACTTATATTTAGAAATTCAGGTCTCCCAGGGAATCTCTCAAGTCAAAATTCATGACTTACACAAAAATGTGAAGGCCTTGACCTAAATAAAATGCAGTGCTTTTTTTTTTTTTTCGGTCTTTTTGAGACAGGGTCTCCCTGTAGCCCCCATCTGTCCTGGAACTTACTATGTAGACCAGGCTGGCCTTGAACTCACAGAGACCCACCTGCCTCTGCCTCCCAAGTACTGGGATTAAAGGCATACGCCACCACACCCATTTATGTAAACAACAGGTCAGGCTCTGCTAGCCTGCACACTGAGACCTTTCCTTTGACTCTACCCTAAGGAAGTGATCTACACTTATACTTGCTGGCACAACTTCATTTACAGGTACTTACTTTATAAAGCAGAACTCATAGTTCTAAAAGCGGTTTCTCACTGTCTTGTTTTTCCTCAGCTTCTTCTTCAGATCCTATAAGGTAGGGAAGAAAAAGGAAAAAAAAATGTCTCATTGCACTAAAGTTACAAACTTATTCATTATAATACATGCATATAGGGGCTGGAGAGATAGATCAGCAGTTAAGAGAACTGGCTCTTAAGAAGACCCGGTTTCAAATCCCAGCACCTACATGGAGGCTAACAACCATCCGTAACTTCAGTTCCAGAGGGTCCGATGCCCTCTTCTGACCTCTGAGGGCACTGCATGACACAGGTGCACTAACATACATGCAGGCAATAAACTTGTACACATAAAATAAAAATAAGTATTTTAAAAAATAATGTAGACATAAAATTCTAAATAAAAGACACATGTTTAACTCTCAAGAGACTTGTTAATAAGCTATCATTTTTAAAGTTTTATCTTTATTTTAAAAAAAATTTCATTTATTATTTTTATGAGTATGAGTACATTGCCTGCATGTAGGTAAGTGTACCCAAGTCATGCAATGCCCACGGAGGTCAGAAGAGGCTGTTGGATCCCCTGGGACTGGAGTTACGGACAGTTGTTAGCTGCCACGTGGGTGCTGGAATTATCTTCATTTTTTTTAAGAGGAAACTTAAACTATAACCTATCACTTGCACTAGCAAAACAGATTCCTTTATGCACTGGTACAGGTACTCATGCACCAGTTGTCGGTGGCTGCTAGTATTCATCCCCTCTTTCTTAACTGGCTTGTATGTGTACTCTTAAGTGCAAATAATATTGAATCTAGATGTTTTCAAAAACCATTGCCAAGGCACCAACAAGGCACTGCCCAGCCTCGTGGCTGCTGGAACCTGTGAGATGATGCAGCCTCGAGGGCAGGTTTGTCTTTAAAGGCGTCTACCTGGACGGCAACTGAGAACAAGGGGAACAAGAGAAGCAGTTTAAGCTCGTATCCCACATATTAACCACACAAACACTAACCACTCTGGGTGGCATTGGGGTGAACAGGTAAAGACAGAAGATAGACAGCTTAGGCCTTCCTTTTGGCCCACCAAAATGCTGGCAGTACATCATGGAGATGCTGGGTGGGCTAACTACCTCCTCACCCTGAAATGTGATTTCAGAAGAATGGCTGAACTGAGCCTTCCTGTTCCCGGGTTCACTTTTCACCTGCTTGGCCGATGGCACTTAAACCCACAGTAAGTGTTTATGTCTTGGGACTCCTAAATAAACCTCCATCCTGTCATTTGGCAGAGAAGAGAAGCCTTAGCTCAGGCAGGTGCTTGAGTGTGACCTGTGTTCAGTCACTGGCTATTGCTAGACACAGTAGACTCTGGAGACTTTCTGGAGGCAAGACTTAAAAAGAAAAGCAAGAATGTAAGAACTAGGGGCTAGAGAGAGGGCTCAGCGATTAAGGGTGCAGACTGCTCTTGCAGAGGACCCAAATGAAGTTCCTAGCACTCATGCTGGGTGGCTCACAACCACCTGTAACTCCAGCTCCAGAAATCTGATGCCTATGGCCTCCTTGGCACTTATCCAGCACTCACAGGCACATATCCACACATAAACAGAAAATAAATCTTTTTAAAAATATATGAGTGGAGGATGGGGAGGAGTTCCATGAAATGTTGTCTATTAAGAGCCATTCATACAACACAAACCCACAGCACCTGTGGCTCCTGCACAAGATCAAGCTAGTCAAAATTCCAAGGGACTGAAGGAGGGGCTCCTGAGGCCCCACTCCTAGCTGAGGAGCTACTGGCAGCTGATGGCTGCTGCTGCGGGAGGGAGAGTCACTTTCCTTTTGAGGGGTGGCCACTGGTAGGCTGTCCCAGTAGGTGACCCCATACGCTACACTCATGCAGATATGGGCAGCACTAACGAGACTCAGTGGGTTATTTTTTGAAAAAGATAAAGACTTTAATGAGCTAGAGTGACGGCTCAGCAGTTAAGAGCACTGGTTGCACTTGCAGAGGACCTTGTTTCGAATCCCAGCACCCACATGGCAGCTAACAACCATCCATAACTCTAGTTCCAGGGGATCCGACGCCCTCTTTTGTCCTTCTTGGGCACTGTATGACACAGGTATACTTATACACATGCAGGCAATACACTCATACGCATAAAATAAAAATAAAAAATAAAGAAGACTTTAAATTGGGAGCACTGGAGAGGTGTTGGGAGAGTCTAGTGGAGTTGGACAAAGGGAGTAGGAGATCGATATGATCTATATACATTGTCTACATGTATGAACTTTTCAAAGAATTTTAAAAAACTAAATTTAGTAAAGTTTAAAATCAAGTTATAATCAAAAGAAAAGTTGCCACATTCTCTAGGGAAGATAATTTCATGGATAACTTACTAAATAAATAATAACAACTTTTTGGGCTTAAAAAAAATCCAAACCCAGAACTGCTAGAATATATAGACAACAAAATACAATGTGTCTGAACAACAAGAAACAGCAACGAGGAAATAATGCCAGCGCCATTGGGGCCATGTAAGTTAAAACACAAGGAGGACCTCTTTAATTGTTAGATAACCTGTAATAAAAATATAAAAATAGACAGTACCAAGTGCTAGCAAGGATGTAGAGAAAATGAAGAAATAAGTCATTGTTTGAGGGAATGTAAGACAACACACTCTGAAGAATAGCTTACATCTCTCTTAAAAGTTATAGAAACTCTGCCAGGCATGGCAGCACACGTCTTTAATCCCAGGACTCAGGAGGCAGAGGTAGGCGGATGTCTGTGAGTTCAAGGCCAGCCTGGTCTACATAGTGAGTTCCAGGACAACTGGGCTGGATTTATTTAAAGTGTGGAAATTTTCAACTCTTTAGAGTTTTAACAAGTCCTAATAATTCTGGCAATGAGTTTTGTTGGGGGGGTTGTTTTTTAAAATATTTACTACTTTTATGTGTATGAGTGTTATGCCTGCATGTAGTTAAGTGCACCTGTGACCTGTGTCGTGCAATGCCCGTGGAGGACAGAAGAGGCTGTCGGATCCCCTGGAACTGGAGTTACAGACAGTTGTTAGCTGCCATGTGGGTGCTGGGATTTGAACCTGCGTCTTCTGTAAGAACAGTCAGTGTTCTTAACCATTGAGCCATCTCTCCGGCCCTGGCAATGAGTTTTTAATACATTTCCTAAACAAAGGGTGATCACACAACAAACAAATCAACTAATCAAAAATGCTTTCCCTTAAGGGGGCTGGAGAGAAGGCTCAGCAGTTAAGAGCACTGGCTGCTCTTGCAGAGGACCCAGGTTCGATTTATAGCACCCACATAGTGGCTAGCAACCATCTATAACTCCAGTTCCAGGGTATCTGACACCTTCTGACCTCCTCAAGCATCGCACAACATGGGTGTACTTACATACATGCAGGAAATACACTCATGAACATAAAAATAATAAAATATTTTAAAAGAATGCTTCTGAGGGACAATAAGTTTCTCTTTTATGGATTTCTTAGAGTACATTTTAATCATATTTAGACCTCCCCTATCTGCAACCCCCCATAATCCGCCCACAGGATTTCTGTTTTATATGTTAAAGCCTATCTAGTCAAGTTTGTATACCCAGCTTGTCCCTTGGTTTGAGTTCATCCACTGGAGCCTATTTAAGCCTATCTAGCATCACTCCCTTAAAGAAGGTGAGACAGAAGGTTCTAATAGCAATCACCCAATGAAAGGGATGAACAGGTACCTGGCTGCTCTTGGAATTTTACTGCCTTTATCTTGACCTGCTAGGAATACTACTATGCAATGTGAGGTAGTCATTCATTCATTCACTCCCGTGCTAGGATCAAACCCAGGGTTTTGTGCATGTCAGGCATGAATAGCCCCGAGCTATTCTGCATTTCAAGCCAGACTGTGCATGAGTTAGAGGTAAAGAACTACCCTGACCTCACTCAGTACAGCACTTGGTTCATATCTGCTCTCTGACCACATGCAGCAACCACAGTCCAGTCACCTGAAGACAATTGTGCCTTCTTGTTCTCAACATGGAACACACAGGCAAGTGGGCTACAGTTAGACTGACAAGACTATGAACACTTTCATAGTTATTAGCAGTACATCTGCTAGGATGTGCTGATTCTTAACTTCTGTTACAAATTTCAAGTTGTTCAAAATATTTTATTTTTTAAATTTATTCTATATGTATGAGTGTTATGCTGCCATGTGGATGTTGTGATTCAAACCTGGGTTTTCTGCAAGGTCAGTTCATTTAATTGCTGAGTCATCTCCCCAGCCCCCCAAAAGTTGCTCCTTTTATAAAGAAAAAAAGGAACAACTGTATTTATACTGTCTTCAATTTCTTCCTTTTCTTTTAATCCATGTCTCCAACAGAAATCTACTATGTCTGACTCTGTTTTCAGTGCTGGGAAAAAGTCAAGCACTGAAGTTCTGTCTTTTCAAGGCCCTCAGTTTCAGTGGCAGGCAAGGCTGCTTCGCCTCAGCTACCAATACAGTGAGAAATCTCTCCTTAAAGAATGTCTTCTGCTTAAGCACATTACCTTTAATAATGATTTTCCATTTAAGCCTGTTGAACATCAATCTCTGGTCACCATTATTAATGTGCTTTTTGTCTAAACAAAACAGCCACCCAGCGGGATAGTATGGAACTGTTTCTGTTCTTGCTCAGCTTCATAACCTAATGGCAATGCCTCAAAGGACCACTAGGTGGTGGCAGATACCGCAGACAGGGGACCCTGAATCAAAGCATTATCCAGTAGAACTGCTTCATGTCTGTATGAACCCTTATTACAATAGTCCTGTTATACTATTATAGTGAAGTAGTAAAATGTTTCCTTCTTTACTTTCTACAGTTTTAGAATTTATACTAACATATCCCTGAATTTCAGAGCCCTATGGTTTCCCATTTTACAAGGCTTTTACATGCCACATCAACAGTACACAAAGTAAACAATTTGAAGTCCTCTAGTGAGGCGATTCAACACAAAGCTGTACTTTCTACTGTTCAAAGTGTTTAAAATATTCCATCTAGCTAATTTTGGGAATACAACATGTAGCCTGTAATGCAAACTGACATCCCAGTGGTAGAAATAGACCATGTCACTGCTAGAGACAGTGTAGACAGCACAGGATGACAGGGTTGTGGGAAAGGACCTAGAGACCAAAGCATACTCTAACCAAGGGAGCTGGGAATGATGCGTAGGGAAGGCTGGAGAGAAGTCTTTGGAGCTTTCAGTGGAGAGGGAATGTTCAGAACGGAAGCAGTGGGGTGCCAGTGGCTTTGAGGGCTTGTGGAGCTGTTCAGAAAAACTGAGACGACAAGGAGGCAAGGTGAGGGGCTGGTGCAAAGTGAGGGAGGTCACCGAGGGGCTTTCTGTGGACACTGACGGCTTTGGGCATGGAAGTAACATGACCAGTCTGGAGTTTCACCAGTATGGAGAGCTGTAAGCTGGCAGCTATGAACATGCATGCACGTTTCTCACTATTTGCTGGCGACAGCTACCGCACATGATGCTGCTATGATCACAGGTGCTCAGTGTGCCTCTTGAGCTGTTTTTATTTCTCTTGGATAGATTCCTAGAGATGTAAAGCATTGGGTAGCAGCATAATTCAGTTTAATTTTGTTGGGAAACACCATCCTGTTTTCTACTATGCCATTTTACCTTTTCAAATGGAATGTATAAGGGCTTAATCTCTCCCTGTCTTCATCAACACTTCTGTTTGGGGGACTGTTTGTTTAACAATTCCTACAATAATGGGTGTGTAGTAGTAGCTTATCATGGCTTTCTTTTGAATTTTCCCAATGATTACTAATCACTGACAATTCAGACACCTTTGGTGAAATGTCTATTCTAGACCTTTGTCCTTTTCCGGTCACGGTTTGTTTAGCATACTGTTATTCTAAAAGCGCTCTGGAAGCTGGTTATTGGAAAGTATAAGCAGAGGCTGGAAAAGAGAAGCTGTGGCAGCGTGAAGCAATGGATGTGGCTGGAACTGGTAGGGAGAGTACAACTAGAATCAGACAACAGGGACAGAAACGGAAGAGCTTAGCACAGCGTTGTGAATACTGAGATGTCAGTGGTGAGAAAGGGAGAGTCCTCAGGGACGCTGTTTCTGAATGGGACACTTGGACTGAGCTGCCACAGGCAATCCTAAAGAAGGCTGGTTTAGTGATGGAGGAATGAGATCAGCATCAAGTCCCACCCCTTTCTGCTTGTTCTCTAGGACATACATCCCAAGTCCTAGTGTTCATGACTTCCATTTTCAGATCTGTCTCTCCACTGATCTCCAGGAAGACCATGTCCTCTTTAGTTTCACATCCTGTTGTGCTAAGTGTCTGTTACAGTGACTGGGAGACAGGGAAGGGAGAGGGAAGGAGCACAGAAGTTTCAAACTGACCAACTGGCAAACAGTAATTGAAATTTTTACCTGCTTCAGATTCAGGAGGGGAATAAAACTGACCATCAGAAAGTCCTGCAGGGATAAGAGCTGCCCTCTCTGATGCATCCTGAACTATCAGGAGTCCTGGAGAGAAGAAACGCAGAAGCTAAGAGCCACAGTACCTCCCTGTGGTTTCTTGGTGAGATTAACTGTTATAAAACGGGATTATTAATGCATTAAATAAACTCTTAGACAAACCAGGTGCTCTGAACATCTTTCAACCCCAAAAATGAAGGCTTAACAAACCATGAACCAACCCTGTGAAGACTAAAAACCAAATGGTTTTAACAATCATTTTGGTTATTCCCAGGCTTCTGAACTCTATTTAGCATATCCCTAACTTGGGATTTCTCACTTCTCTAAAAACATCAACACCAACTTCAAAATTAAACACAAAGCAAAATGAAAACTGAGCTAGCATGAACAAATGATTTACAATCCAGATTTGGGTAGAGAAATGGCAGGGGTCAAATTCGACACCTATAGAGCCTTTATCAGTACAGAGAAGAATGTAGATAATGAAGACATATTTACTTTATTTGCTTTTTAATTTTTTAAATGTTTTTTTAAAAAATATGTGCATGTATATCAGAGGATAACCCAGGGGGGTCATTCCTCAGGCACCATCCATATATTTTGGGGATAGGGTCTCTCATTGGTCTGGAAATGACTGAGTAGGCCAGCAAGCCTCAGGGGTCTGCTTCTCTCTACCTCCACAGCTCTGAGGTTATGAGCTCATACCACCACACATAGTGCATTTCTCTTTGTTTCACATGGATCCAGAGTTGACTCAGGATCCAGAGTTGACTTTTGCAAGCATTCTATCAACTGAGCTATCCTTCCAACCCTATAGGTATTTAGTTTGAGACTAAATAAGGCAGGTGTCTAAATATCTGACTATAAGATATACCGTAAACACCTAAATATTTTACCAGTGGACTGTGCTCTATTCTGTATTTCTGATTTAATTAGACTTTTGACATGGCATGGAAGCACATTTGACAAGTGACCACACTTGTCTTATTTTTCTCTGAGGTTTGAAAATTAAGTTTCCAAGTCCATAGAAAATTTGATTAAGTTATATAGAGAACATTCATATGATTACATCTAAATTCTATACTCTTTTATTACAGTTGTTACACCACATACTCATCTATCTAGCTCTGCTTTTATCATTCAGTAAATCAGTAAATTTTATTCCATTTAAATGTTAAGAGGCACATACCAGTTTATTTTTCCCTAAAGATTATTAGTATGGAGTCATTAACTATAGTGTTCAGTATTTGTTCACTTAAACATAAAAACTATATACATCAAGATGGATAATTTTTTTTAATTTTGTGTATGTGTGTGTCTCTGTGAAGTTATGTACACATGAATGTGGGTACCAATAAAGGTCAGAGGAGGGCATAGGATCCCCTGGAACTAGAGTTGTGTGGGTGTTAGGAATCAAACTCAGGTCCTCTACGAGAGCAGTATGTGCTCTTAACTGCTGAGCCACCTCTCTCGCCCAGCAATTAATATTTTAAAAATATTTCCAAAGAAAGGAAAGGTACCAAAAAAGCAGAAAATTACAGAACACTCACGTATGGGGAGAAGACCATCCACCTTTGAGGTGTTTTTGCTTAAACCAGAGTTAATGTTAAGAACTGCAGCAGCAAGCACCCAGAGTACTGCAGATACTAGGAAGATGTATCCTACCACGGTGCAGATAAATGCTGCTTGAAATGTCATGACTTGTGATTATTTCCTTTTAAATTTTTCTTACATTCTCTCTCGCTCTGTCTCTCTCTCTGTCTTTCTCTCTCTCTGTCTATGTGCATGTGCCACAGCATGTCTGCGTGTCGTCAGAGGACAACTTGCAGGAATTAGTTCTCTCCTCCCACCATGTGGGTTCTGCATACTGATCTCAAGCTGGCAGGCTTGGCAGCAAGGTTACCACTGAGCATCTCCCCAGCCCATGTGATCAGCTCTATTAGACACTGCAAAACTGATTTAGTCATATAACCATTCAAACCTCACTCATGTTAATACTTTGCATGTTTTAAATAATGTTTAGTGTGTTGTCTACATATTTTTAAAAAGTGTATGTAATAAAAAGTAGCATCCACTAGTTTACCTACCCCTTCTCTGCTGGAACAAAGGACAGGAAGGCACAAGCTTCATGGACTATAGTTTAATGTACTCTGAAGAGTCATCCTTGAATTAGAATTCTTTTCTTTTAGTTTGTTATTAAGGAAATTTTCATAGTGAAACTTCATGCAAAGTTATTTTTGATGCTGTTGCTTTTGAAGCTATAATCGTACTTAATTTTCCATAGGATACAAGATTCTTTTTCCATTTGGGCAAACTAAGCCAGATGATGGGAAAGGGTCTGAACCAGTATGAGTATCTAAATTGAGTTTTGATCATTTCACCTCCAAGACGGATGGGTGGTGCTGAGTTTCCACTAATGAATCCTATGGAAAGGAACCCTAAGCCATTAACCAACCACACAGCTCTCAATGGAGTATGTGACCTTCCTAATTAACATTCCAGCATACCCGACACCATGTGGTTACATAATAGCTTTGTCAGATTTTAGAAGAATATGGTGGCCAATGTCACCCAGCCACTCAAAGGAGCACAGTAGAAGCCTGAGGGGGCTAAGCTCTGCTTTGCCTGGAGTTCTCCTCTAAACTCCATCTTAACCACCAAGGTCTCAGTGCCAGCCATTTAACTTTTCTATTTGTGGCCCATCCTAGACCTGCTGTATACACAGCAACAGGGCACTCTGCAGAGCCACTGACTGCTTTAACATTTCTGCCTTCACTTACTTCAAACCCATTCAATACTCTCTGATCCTCAACAGCACAATTCTATTACATGTAAAATGCTTAATAATCTATGATTACTATAGTGAGAAAAGATCAATCTACCCGAGGAGAAGGAGGCAGGGGCTACTTTGTGTGGCTCTAAGAATGTCTTTTTGACATGTTTAGGGGAAGCCTGATCCAGAAGCCAGAAACTGGAGCAACTTCCTGTCACTATCCATTCACATACCCACCCAGTTCTGATGTAGCCACTGAGGAACATGCCACATGACTGCCTAACTTTGGATCCCACATCTTCTCTCACACCAAGAACCTACATCAGTCCCCCACGGCATGGTATCTGTCAAGCCCAGGAGGCTGACTATGGCAGAAACTTACTGTTTTCTTCTTCTGCTTCTTGAGGTAACACTTTGAAATCCAGGAACCACGTCTCAATCCAGGCGAGGATGAATGAAATGATGGGCAGCACATAGCCAAATGCCCCTTGAGAGAAAAGCTGGAGGAATGGGTAGGAGGAGGAGAGGAAGCAGTCACCATCAGCTCCTGAGGGGAAGAGGGCTTCTGCATGGCAGGGAACAAGGGTGCTGGGAATGGGAGCCACACATACCTTCGAAAGGATCACTTTTGCTAATAAAAAGGCACTGGTCACGGCTGTTGTCAACTGCAAGACACATCATGCAACACCCTTGAAATAGGACATTTCACACTGTGAAGACCCTTCCCCTAACAAAGAAACCTGTCTGAGCCAGGAGCAGACAGTGCCTGAGCAACCTGTGCCCAGCCTGGCTTCTCCCCACACACCTGCAGTGGGTGAAATGGGTTTCTTGAGCACACGATTTGACTGCCTGTGCATGGCATTCCTTTTCCTGTATCAGGTTACTGTGTTGGGAAACTTTTGCCCATTTGAAGGTACAACTCATATGCACTAAAGAAAGGACAGGTGGCATGCACAGACAAGGCTCTCCATAGGGTTGTGAAGCCCTGAGCAACCCATCACACTTGAACACAACTGCTCCTTCCTCCCGCAGAGACTTTAGCATGGTTAATCCTGACTATGCTGAACAGCAACAATGACTAAGCCAGAGTGAGCTGCCAGGAAAGGAGACATTTCACATCCTGACAATAATTTTCTTTATTGGCTGACACTAAGTGCTCTTAGGTGCCAGCTGACTCCTCTTTCCTGGAAATATTTTAAACAACAATTAGAGACAGCAAATGGATCTATCCATCAGACCTTAGACAATTTGACATTTAATACAGAATCTACCCTCAATACTACATGAAAGCAGATACTGCACTGACTCTCATGGCACATATGTATGTGAATCTCCTTATAACAAATACTGAGACAGACAGTCTGGCAAAAATTAATATACACCATGGAGACTCTGGAATAGAATGTGCCAAATGCAAAATGTTGTAAAAGAAATGGAAAATATAATCATCAAATTTAGTATGGTAACTGTATGAAATACACAAAAATTCAATTAAAAATATACACAAACATTAATAGATAAAAATTTCTTCCAGATTAAAAAATAAAATTTAATTTAAAAAAATTAGTACAGTGTCAGCAAGAGATGAACAAAGGGAATCAAGCTTGCCCAGATGGTCAGCTATGGCCATGAAATGGGAGAACCGTAATGACAGGTCTGACTCTGCCCTGTGATATGGAAGACGACCCAGGCAGACATGGACCCTGGATGGCTGCCCTAGGAGGGGAGCAGGGCTCACACTCCCACCTGGACAAGCCAGAGGCCTCTATGGTAGGATTTCAACTTGTTCCTAGGTAGTTTCCTACATTCTAATGAACTTCTGCATCTGTTCTCCATCTGCCTTCTTAATAAGGTTTATAAAAAGAGCTGAGTAGCATTCAGGAAATCTGTTGAAGAGGCAAAAATGATTCAAGCAACTGGTTCTAACTTTTAGTCCCTTCATACTTACTGAAAATGAGCACAATGTACCCTGGCTTTGTAACAGATGCATTGAAAAAGTGTGTGTGGGGGGATCACTCCCAAGGAGCCAGAAGGAGCAAAAGGAAGAGCATAGCAGCTTGTTCCTCTGTGATGGTTGATTAACCTTGACTGTGGACATGTTAGGTTTTATAATCACCTAGCAGAAAAAGCTCTGGGCAGGTCTGTGAGGACATTTCCAGTGAGGTTTAACTGGAGAGGGAAGACCCATCCTGGAGGTGGGCAATGACATCCCACAGGCTGGGGCCCAGGACTGAATAAAATGGAGGAAGTGAGCTGTGCCCCAGAATTCCTCTCTTTCCTTCTGCCTCTTGACTGTGGATGCAGTGTGAGCAGCTGTCTCTTGCTCCTGCTCCTACAGCTTCCCAGCCATGGTGGACTGTACCTCAAACTGAGCAAAACAAACCTTTCCTTCCCTATGTAGCTTCTGTCAGGTATTTTGTCACAACAATGAGAAAAGGCAGTAAATATATGCTATAAGACAGGGGTTGGGGACAGCATAAGATTTCATTAAAATAGAGAATTCTCATTCCCTCTCTCTCTCTCTCACACACACACGCACACGCACACGCACACACACACAAATCACTAAGCAGTTCCAGTTAGTGAGTTAGTTCCCATTACAAACAAAACCTCTGACATATTAAACCTACTAAAGCAAGAGAGGAAGACGACCGAGGAAAAGCTATTTAAGTTCCAGCTGATAAAAATCCTGTTTCCTCTCAGCTCAGCATGTTGTGAGCACCCTGGCCACCAGCTCCAGAGGTGACCCACTATGCTGCAGACTTACCGCTATTGCCCACCAATGGCGTAGTCTGCATACAGCATACGCAAGTATCAACACTTTAAACCGAAAAACTGCCAAAAGCTGAGGAAACAAATGCAAAGAAAGAAAGATAAGTTATTTAAAATAAATAAACGAATAAACAAACACACGTACATACAAACACTCTCCGCCTCACTGTCTTCTCTCTGACTCTTCTGTAGACAACCCCAGAGGGGCTTGGGTCCTTAGACCAACATATGGAACTTCTAGCTCCAGATTCTTCCAGTCCTAGATTCTTATATGGTACCATCCACAATTTCAAATTAGTTTCCTATTATCAATTTAGAAAAGAAAAAATAAAGATGGAGAGAAGGACCAGTATTTCCCTCTGTCTAGGACATACCACTGGGCTCTAGTTCAGCCAGTGGAGAGAATGAACATGGGAGGGTTCCTGCTGGCCTCACTTGTCTCTTGTTTATCTTTTCTTATGATTATCAGACAGTTTCTTAGTGAGAGAGAGAACAGTGAATGGGCAGATGATCGGGGAAAAAAAATATGGTCAGTGTTCAGGGTAGGGGAAAATGGCACTGAATCTGAGGCCTGTCTCAAGGGACTCTGCATTTTGGTTTCAGTTTCATCAATCTGAAATGAGACTTACGAATATATCAAAATAGGATGAGTAGTAGTCGTAATGAAGCACTTCCTTCTTCAGTGTCTTCTCGATGCCTCCATTCACCTAGGAGAGAGAACCAAATGAGGAGAGACTCAAGTGAGACTAAAACAAGAAAAAAGTTTTTACATACTCCCTGCTTATCTCTTCAGAACCCAGAAATGTTCCAATACAGCCCCCAAATCTGCTATCAGTGTGATTTAACTCCACAGCTTTCTTGGAAGGGCCGGGGACCCTAATCCAGCAAACATCCCCAAGGCCAGTTCACACCACATAGGGCAGATGTGTCAACACTCTCTGGGGCTTGTTTTAATTTTCTCTTGTTATTTTAAAATTCAACACTCTTACAAATATAAATATATAACTTGGTTTAAAAATCGGAACAGATTAGACCCACAATCATACATAATAGAGTTAAAGTAAATGACAAATCTAAAAGGTAAGTTTTCTTTTTTCTACTACTATCAAAATGAATTTTAAATGATGGCATTCAGAATTCTACAAATTAAACCATGCGTAGTAATAGAAACAGGAGATGGAGAGATGGCTCAGCAGTTAAGAGTACTGGTTGCTCTTGCAGAGGACCTGAGTTTGGGTCTCAGTACCCACATGGCAGCTAACAACCATGTCTGATGCCCTCTTGTGACCTCCACAGCCATTGCACAACATGGGTGCACTAACATTAAGTAGATAATAAATAAACAAACAAATAAACAAACATAAACCAAGAAGGTGCCATATGTCAGGTCACTTGTAGGCTCTCTATAGCTGTGGGCTATGGATGAGCAAGGTCAATTCACGTTTCTAATTACAAATGCAGCCCTAGCAGACAGACAGATATTCTGAAAAAGGACAAAAGCAAAGCACAGTTAACCAGACAGCCTGATAAGAGGCAAAAACTAATCAAGACTAGTTTTGCCAGGTTCCCTAATCAATTGAATTAGAATAAAATGGTAGCTATCTTTTCACACACCTGCATTTGCTACAGGAATGGAAGCAAACCATGAGCTCGACTCTCAGCCTTACAGCTCTCAAAGTGTAGAGTTCTGAGTGATTGGTATGAACTGGCTGTAGACCTAATTCTAATTAGCTATAGAGCTGAACAAATGAACAGGAGAGAAAAGCAGGGAGCAAGAAAAGGCCATTACTAAAAACCGAGCAACCTTCTAACTTCATGGTAGTGTCTCTGCAAACCAAAGGAACTTGCTACTCAGAACATTAAGAGAGGGCAAAGTGGGTCCTCTACCACAGATGCCTCCCCTCTGTTCCAGTTCCCAAGATAGCAGGAGTCAAAGTGGACAGTGCACACTGGCCAGGAGAACATGCTCTTCTTTGTTCTCTGTATACTGAATCTGGACTCTGTGCTGCCTTTAAGTGGCGTATTTATAATTATGTCTGCAATCCTAACTTGTTCTCTAAATCCTCATTTCACAATACTTGTCTAGTGCAGGATGTCTCAAATAGACCAACTACAGTTTCAATTTCAAATAAAATCTCCTCCCAATCATGTTCTAAATCAAACTGAGCATTCCTTATTCACACATCTGAAATCTGAAAAATTTCAAATACCTGAGACTTTCTAAGCACACAGGTCACAAGTAGAAAATTCCATACCTAACCTCACCTGAAGAGTCTCAGGTTCAACTACAGGTCCACTAAAAATACAGTGTAAAATTATCATTAATGTATGTGTTAAAAGAATATATAAATAAATCTGTGATTAAACTGAGTCCCATTCCCAAGATCTCTCAAGTACATGTAAATATTCCAAAACTCCTGAAATCTTAAGTTTGAAACACTTCTAGCCCCAAACACTTCAGATAAGGGATACTGTGTTTCACCAAAGCTGTCTTTAGATACTAGGGTGGATAAATATCAGCCTTTCAACAAGTCTGCTACTGCCTCCTGAGTGTGCTTTGCAGGTAAGCTCTTCCCACTTACACACCTCGAGTGGCAATTCCTTCACCAGCTTCTGACTCTGTGCGCTTACTGCCAACCTGCTTCTAGTGTAATCCAGCTGTTCAACACTGTCACAGTGATCTTTATCCATGTACCAAATATCCCCTGGGCACCTACTGAGTGTCAGGCATTGTTCTAATTATAGGAGGTACTTCTGTAAGCAAAACAGTTATCTGTCTTTATAAGCTTGCCATTGAGTAAAAAGACAAAACAAATCATAAGACATAGATATAAGACAATGTGACAGATTAATGGTGACATTTAAACTGATACTAGTATGATAAGCTATTACAACCTACAAAAGAATACAGGAAATTAATCATTTGATACAGAACACTCTACAGAGCCTGTTTCAGTGGGGAAGCAAGGGTAGCTGATGAATGTAAGTCACTGCTGACAAGGAAGACAGACAGCATGTGCCCAAGGGAGAGCCTTCCAGGGTTAAGATGGTGGGGAATGCAAGTAACCAGACCCAAGGCTTTGGGAAATACAGACATCCTAGGTTAAATGAATGCACAACTGCAATCAATTCCATCTTTTTAGAGAATATAAAACAATATATTTTGAACTTTGCATTATAATTCTATTGCATAGTACTGAGACAGATAATTATTGAGCAACATAACCCACAGTTCTCCAAATGAGTCCAGGAGAACTTGCTCAATAAAATACAAAGAAATAATTTCTGCAAATCTCAAGGGAATTAAAAAGCAGACATAATAGTTAGAGCTTATTTCAGAAACGTTTTCTAGATTTTTTTTAAGAACAAGAGTTGGCAATTTTTTTCTTTGAAAAGACCCAGAAAAAAATTATTTTTGCCTTTTAAGTCAGAGAGGGTTTGTCTCAATTACTAAAGCCAAAAGTCAACTGCAGAGAAGGCTATGCACAAAGAGCACAGCTGTGTCCTAGGAAAGCTTTATTAAGACAGACAGCTGAATCTGTCCTACAGGCTGGAGTCTGTCAACTCTTTACTATGAAACAAAGCCCAGGAATTCAAATTCCCAAATCCCATAGAAACTGAATTTCAAATTAACAGGGTTTATTTCACAAAATAACATTAAAATAAGTAAGGTTGCCTCATTTGAAAACAGATCAAATTCACTAAATATAATGGAAATAAAGAGAAAATTTTTAAAAATCCTCTAAACAAATTTAAAAAGTTATGAACAACAACAACAACAAAAATCAACTTACGTTTAACTCTATTATCCACAGTAATGTTACAAATAAGAGGTCAAAAGTGACAAACAGACAGAAAGTCCTCCTGACATCAGATATGCCCTTCTTTTCCCGTCCTTCCCAGGACTCGATCCTGGCCATGAGCTGTGTGGGGTTGATGGAATGGATGTCTCGCAGAGAAGCCTGGGAGCTATGGCTCCCACTGAGCGCATTCTCCATGTCTTCTGGTGGGTGGTTCATCCCGGAGGAGGGTTAAAGTAGCCTCCGTCCAACTCCACCATCACTGAAGAGAAGCAGCCTTGGAGACAAAAGTGAAAAGCCATGTTAAATCTGAGCTTGCCTCATATAACCAAGGGCTCTGAAACTGTCAAGCCAATTCTCCTGCCCCAGCAGCAGGTAAACCTCCAGGGTCTCATGCCATTACTCATGGGCTAGGAGATCATTTATTGAACATCTTCCCAGAAAACGTTAAGTAGGCTATGTAAACTAGAAATAAAACTTGTTTCCTAATGAGGAATTGAGTTCTATCAAAAGAATTGAACTGAATTTAGTAGCACTTCCTGCTTACTTCTTTGTGAACAAGTACGTTTCTGGGCATCTTCTCAGAAGTGTTTCTACCACAAAAAGTCCAGTACTATGTAACCACTAGACTGGTAGTTAACAGAAGTCTACAGCCCATATAGAGGCAAGTTCCCCAAGGCTACGAGGGCTTCATTCTGTAATAAGGTTAAGGAGAAGCAATCCAAAGGAGCCGACTTCCTTAAAGACGGGCAGTCACTGAACAGAAATAGTGAGTGGTGTGAACATCGAGCCCAGCAGGTCCCTGTGGTGACTCTCCCTACAGGAAGATTACATATCTGCTCCTGGCTGCAATGACACTGGTGCTTCACTCTGGCCAGGAACATGGCAGGAAGTTCAGTGGTACATGTGTCCCACTTAATAAGCTCATCTTCTTATCGCCACGTGACTGGCAAAGACATTTTCAGGGTGAGCAAACCAGAAATTAGAAAGACAGCTGAGACTGCTGCAGAGCAGCTGTGAGGTTTCAGCTGATCGTATTCACCGTCAGTCCTTTCACCTCTCCTTTCCCACACTCAGGAACAAAAGTCCTTTCCTTACTTTTAAATCATGTGGTGGGATAACAGTCTTAAACCAATTTAATTATATTAACAGATATTTTATAATATACCTCTTGCTGTAACTCTACTTTTAGACATTTGAAGGAAATTAGAGTCAAAACGAATCTATAGCACTGGAGGTCAGGTAAGTGGTTACCTTAGAGAATGGGGGCGGCATGGAGCATACTGACTGGGGCTCAAAACAGAGTGAGTTTCGGAAACTTGGTGAAGCTCCACTTTTTGACTTAATAATAACAGCTGTACTGTACTTATTTGGCAATATTTGATGTACGTAATTTCAGTGGACTGTTGAATGTTTAAAAATTTTTGAAGTTTTTTACATATGTGCATATAAACATATGTGTTGCCTTTCAGTGAAAATTTCTATTAGAAAGATTTAGTAAAAAAAATGTAAGAGCTGCAATTAGAAAATCACCCTGATATTTAATAACAGGAATAATTAAATCATAAAACTGCCACATAATACTGATTTAAGTGAATACTTATCAAGCATTTATAATTGTGGGAGACAGGCTTGAGCCTAGGGTGAAAGTCTTATTGACAGCCATACAGCAGGCCTGAGGCAATGGCCCAACAGCTGGAGCCACAAGGAATGCCTTGTGACATTTGCTCCCATTGGCAGATCATGAGAATGATGCCTAGAGCTCGCCACTCCCTAATCACCACCCTTGAGATTCCAAATTGCAACACTTAGATATTGTAACAGTCAGGGTCATTCTAGGAATCCATTCTCTGTAATCTGAAACCAAGTATGCTAATGAGGCATCCTACCCACTATTCTGTGATAGGAAGTTAAGTCTGTTATGCTAATAAGATGCTGTCTGTTATGCTAATAAGGTATCCTACTTGCTGTGCTGTGATTGGACCACTACCCCTACATAAGCTTGTGCCTTCCTGCAATAAAGCAGACCTGTGTCACTGAACCTGGTCTCCTGTGTCTGAATGCAGCTCCACTAACACAGTCTCCTCACCAGCCCCGGGGTCCATGACTGGGCAGAAGCAGCGACGACAGAAGACAGCACTGGCCGGGCATAAGAGTAGCCTCAGCCCAGGGCAGGCAGAAGAGCGGCCTCAGCGCTGGGTGAGCAGAAAAGCAGCCTCAGCCCAGGGCAGGCAGAAAAGTGGCCTCGGCCCAGGGTGAGTGGAAGAGCAGCCTCGATGCCAGTGAGAACGAAGGAGCAGTGCCCGTGAGAACAGAGGAGTGGCCGCCACTGGCAGTGACCGTATATAATGACAGGATAATGCTTGGGCTATAATACGCAGAAAAGTGGCCTTGGCCCAGGGTGAGTGGAAGAGCAGCCTCGATGCCCGTGAGAACGAAGGAGCAGTGCCCGTGAGAACAGAGGAGTGGCCGCCACTGGCAGTGACCGTATATAATGACAGGATAATGCTTGGGCTATAATACAGGATTAAAACTGATAATAAACAGAGCACACATATATGATGTTTATATATCAGATGCTAGCAATGATTATCTTTGGGTCCTAGAGTTTATAGTGTCCTCTCCTTTATTTTCTTCCACCTGGATGACATTAGGTAATAGTGCTTGGGTTACTTAATTTGTTTCCTCAGAACGAGCATAACATTTTGAAAAGCTCAGGAGTCAACTTCAGTGCCTTAGAATAAATAATCAAATACAAAGTTCTAAAATTTGAAAGTGGTTCTGCCATGGTTTCTGCCTCAGTGAGATCAACAGTGTCCTAGCCTTCAGTGCAGTCAGGGTAAGCAGACAGACTACCCAAAACTTAAAAAACAACCCGTCTCTCTTCTCAAGCTCACAGGTCTGCAACTTCGCCTGACCTAGGCTGACAGGAGCTGAGCAACTCTGCATGACACACTTGGCTTCAAACTGTGTTATGTCCAGATCTGCCCTGGCATCTTCCTTGGATCAAGGAGACCTGGATCATTTTCTTGTCTTGAAAGATGTCACATGCACAAGGGACCAGGTAGGTAAGCCATAAAAACAAATGTAAAATCTCTATACACACTATGTTCACATTAAGTCAGCCAAGACATGTTTCTAAGTGGTTTTCGTTTTTATTTTTTGTTTTGGGTCGTTGTTATCATTGTCATTGTTTTTGAGACAGGGTCTTCCTGAAGCCCCAGCTGGCCTGAAACTCACTATGTAGACCAGGCCCCAATATCAGAGATCTGTCTGCATCTCATCCTGAGTGCTGGAATTAAAGGCATGCAACCATACCCATATTTCTAAATGTTCTGTTAGAACTCTGTCATGCCTCTGTTCTGGATAGCTTCAGTTGTCAATTTGACACACCTGGGGAAAGGGAACCTCAACTGGGGAATTTCCTCTATCAGACTGGCCTTGTTGGCATGTCTGTGAAGTACTTTCTTGATTGTTAAGTGATGTGGGAGAATCAAGGCCACTGTGGGTAGTGCCACCCATGGGGGCTGGTGGCCTTGGGTTGTATAAGAAAAGGCGCACATAGGCCAGAGGAGTAAGTCAGTAAGTGGGGTTCCTCCATGGTCTCTGTTTCCATTCCTGCCTCCAGGTTCCTGCCCTGAGTTCCTGCCTTGTCTTCCCTTAAAGACAGACTGTGAGCTGTTAGCCAAATAAACCCTCACCTCCCCCAGGTTGCTTTTGGTGATGGCTATTATCACAGCAGCAGAAAAAGTAACTAGGACACCATCTGTATTGTTTTCAGATGCTTTCACATTAAGTCAGCAGAAATGAACAGCCCCCAGAAGAATATACATGCTCTGTAAAGCCTAAAACATTTGCTTTGCCATCTTCTTTTTTTGTAGAAAGGGCTGCTGGTTTCTTCTCAAAGGAGATCTAACTGTGACAGGAAGTGATTGTGTCAATCTGTACAAAGCAGGAATAAGCTAAAAGAAGAATGTCAGTTCTGATTAAGGAGCTGGAAAAGACCTGTGATTCATTTGTCATTGTCCACAGATTGCTCTATGGACAGCATCTCTTAAGCACAGGAAAGCTTGTCTTGATAGTGGCTCATGCTGGGGCCATCCCAGTGGCACTGAAGTGAATAGGCCCCTCTTCACTGTTTTCTTCTTCAATGTCCATGACTAGATCTAAAGTAAAACTACCCCACCTATCACGGTCTCTTCATCAGTGCTTTCCTTCCCACATGAGAAAAAACAAAAGATTCTTCCTTCTGCTAAAGACTTATTACATTCTCCAGTTCCTTTTACTGCACCTATCCCTACGCTGGGTGCAAAGCTGAGGCAAATGTGAATTCCACCTGCTTCCACAAAGAAGTAACAATACCCCACACTCCGACAATAAGGAGCTACCACCAGTGCAAGCATTTTATGGAAGTGCCACAATCTGCCTTCCTAGGAAGAAGAGGGAGGGAGTCTGGGCTCCTATTTACTAGTGGCAACACACCAAGTCTCTCAACCCAACCACTCAGGCCCCCCTACTCCTGCAGGAGCCAGAACAATACATGACTCGAAAGGCAGGGCCACTGAAAGACACTCCAAGTGTTTGGTTTAGAAAGGCCTAATGGAACAAAACTGGTTGATGGACAGGTTCTGCTTGTTTATTTTTATTTTAAATAATTAAAATGTCCAGGTTTCCTGCTTTCTATTTCACATAGAACCTGTACTCCCACCTGGCCTCAATGTTAGTGTGCAGGCACCTGAATCTGCCTCACTGATCTGTTTTGAATTTGTTTTACAAGCAAAGCAGTTCGGGCCTACCTGTACCGTAAGGATCTACCCATCTAACATACTTCAATATATATCTTCAGATTAAAAGTTAGCTCTTTTAGCCCAGGACAGATGGATACCGCACAGAATTCTACCAATCCTTCAAGGAGGAACTAATACCAAGAATCCTCAAATTACTCCATAAAATAGAAAATGAAGCCACACTCCTAAATTCTTTTTATGAAGCCAGTATTACTCTAATACCAAAACCAAAGATCTAGCAGAAAAAGAAAAGTATAGGCTAATCTCTCTGATCAACATAAATGCAAAAATTCTCAATAAAATACTCACAAACCGAATGAAAAGATTATCCACCATGATCAAGTTGGCTTCATCCCAGAGATATAGGGATGATATGTAAATAAATAAATGTAATTCAACATATAACAGACTCAAGGACTGAAATCATGTGGTCATCTCCTTACATGCTGTCAAGGGTTTGATAAAATCCAACATTCATTCTTGATAAAAG